TCTCCCTCCTTCCTTCCCTCCCTCCCTCCCTCTCTCCCTGGGTCATGAACCTGAGGGCCATTGGGGCCACCGTGGGTCCAGCTTAGAGCCTCCACTAACAGACGCTCCCTCGTGGCCTGACCAGCCTCTCTGTGGTGACATGCATGCTACTGGTAGACAGCCACGTGAGCCACGTGTGGGCCGCCCCCGTGGCCTCATTATTGCTGCCCCCGAGGCTGCTCAGAGGGCCGCCCAGGAAGGAGGTTTAATGGCCTGGCTGCAGACTGAGCTCTCCTCTCCCCGACGCCTGTTTTCCACTGTTTCCTCCAACCTGGTTTGATGCGATGATGGGGAATATCTTGTTTCCACTTTTTAATAGAGTGTTGTCTTCACACGTAGCTTGAGGAAAACAGTGGCAGGTGCCTGAACATGTACCCGACAGTGAATTTGCAGGAGGCAGCTCTAAAAAAAAGTCCACACCGGCAGCCAGAGGATGTGACATGAGGGACGTTGTCAGGCTCGGTGGCTCCCGGCACCAGCAACCAGAGTCCCTGGGAGGGACCGAGGCCGGAGATGCTGGCAGGAGGTGCAAATTAGTTCAGGGCTCTCAGGGGCCTGGCGGCTGGTGCTTCATTCATTCGTTCACTTATTCAAGCTGTAAATACTCAGGGAGGGCTCCCCTGTCCTGGACACTGACCTGGGCCTCGGAGAGAACTTTCCTTCACGGGCTTCCCTGTCTAGCAGGAGAAGAGAGACACTTAAGCAAAGAGACCAGCAGATAAACAGCGATCATTTTGGGGAGTGTGAGGATAGCGGTGAGGATATGGGGCGGGGGGAAGCGGATGGAAACCGAGGTGGGGTCTCTGTTGGAGGCCGAGCATCCTCTGGCCCCCCAGGGTGTTAGGTTGCAGCTGTTATTTGCAGCGGCTGCACCCACCCCCCAATGTGAGTTCTCAAAGTGGGGTCCCCGACCAGCAGCATCACCCGAGAGCTTGTTAGAAATACACATTCCCCCTCGGCCGGTGTGCCCCAGCGGCTAGGGCACCAGCCCATGTTCCAAAGGGTTGCGGGTTCGATTCCCGGTCAAGGGCACAGACCTGGTTTGTAGGTTCGATCCCTGGTCAGGGCAGCCAATCGATGTGTCTCTCACACATCGATGTTTTTCTCTCTCTCTAGAATCAATTTTTAAAAAAAACACATTAAAGGTAGAATATAGCACATGAGTCCCGAGCTCAGATCCTGAGCTGCGTGCTCCTAGCTGGGGGACCTTGTGTAAGTCACTTAACCTCTCTGCGGCTTCAGTCGCCTTATGTATCAAACAGAGACAACAGGAGGACCTCGCACTAGGGCTGCTGAGAGCGTGAGCTGGATGCGTGGGGGGCGGGACCTGGGCCCATGGGCGGCCCACGGTCGTCGGTCGGCGTCACCGTTACCATCCTCCCGCATCAGGAACGCAGGGTGCGTGAGGCTAAGCGGTCACCCTCCACTTAAGGGGTATTTTCTCCCGATCGCTTTGGAACCCTCGCCCGTGACGCTCCACCCTCCCCGACGGCTCCACTTCAACGCCCTGTTTCGTAACGCAGGGTGTTCAAGGCTGTGCCAGGAAAGACAAAAACAAAAAAAGACTTTCATCTTCGCACGTATTCTCCCTCTGTTTTGTTTACTCCACCATCAGGAAGGCATTTTCCGCCTCTGATCCCAAGACTTCTCATTAGTGTAATTGCGCCGAGCGCGGGTACATCTGGGCCGGACCACAGATGCGAACTCGCGGCCGACAAGACTCCACGTGGGGGGCGAGGGGGGTGACGCGACGGGAGGTGGAGGTTTTGTGTGTTTTTTTAAAAATTATCCGTAATTAGCAGGGAGGGTTACGTGGACCATATTAAAAATCAGCTCTTTACCTGCGAGGAGAAAGAGCATCGCAGGGAACGGGAAGGCTGTTCCCTTTTATTGGCGTGAACAGAGCTAATGGGGCTCTCGGCGTCAATGTCCGGCTTCCTCGTAAGCACCGCCACCATCTGCGATAAATAAATGCCTCCCTCTGAAAAGACGGGCGAAACGTCCTCCGGCCACGGGCTGGGCGAGCGGCAGGCGCGACTTCCTAAGGTCCGCGGGACGCGAGCTAACCCACTTCTCCTGGCCGGTCAGGTTTTCGTTTGCTGGTTTGTTGTTGTTGGGTTTTTTTTGGCTCTCATTTCGGAACAGTTTTAGGGGCACAGTGTTTGCATCTGGGATCAGTGAGGCGAACCTGGGGTGGGATTCGCACTGAGCCCCCCTGAAGGGAGCTCCGAGGTCGCCGTCATCCGTGGGAGACGCGTGGTCCGTCTCCGGGGTCTCACCCCAAACCCGGCCCACCCTCCGCTCTTGTACGGCCCCCAGACGAAGAATGGCTTCACTTTTTTTTTTTTTTCTGTTCATTAATCTTGACCTGAGGATATTTTTTCCATTGATTTTTAGAGAGAGTGGAAAACGGGAGAGAGAGAGACATCAGTTGGGCGCCTTCCACTCCCGCCCTGACCTGGGCTGGGAATCGAACCTGCAACCCAGGTACGTGTCCCTACCCGGGACTTGAACCCGGGGCCCTTCGGTGTGCGGGCTGATGGTCCACCCGCTGAGCCACACCGGCCAGGGCCGGTGCCTGGTCATTTAAAGGAGAAATTTGCAAACGGCGCCATGGGGCCTGAGCGGGGAGACGGGCCCTGCTCAGAAGGGCACTGGGATGAAGGTGCCCGTTTATCAAGCTGCCTCTGTTTCCAGACACGAGAGAGGATGGGGCACATTTAGCAGAGAGGGAGGCCTCCTGCGCCTGGCGAGCGTTCCTAAATCACCCACGCGGGGAGGGAAACCCCTCCGCACCCTCGGCCGGCGGCGTTGCCCCCGAGCCGAGCCGGCTCCAAGGGAAACACGATCGCGGTTCAGCGCAGGCACATGTGTCGCTCAGGGAGCCGAGGTGGGGACCCCAAGCACGAGGCCCAGCGTGCCCGGGAGCCGCGATACTGGACTTTTTGTTGAGTTCTGATTTTTTTTTCTCACCTATTTTTAAAAAATTATTTTGAAAATTGATTTCAGAGAGGAAGGGGGAGAGAGAGACAGAAACATCCATGACGAGAGCCACTGACCGGCTGCCCCCTGCTGGGGATCGAGCCCACAACCCGGGCCTGTGCCCCGACCGGAATCGAACCCTGACCTCCTGGGTCCTAGGTCAATGCTCAACCGCTGAGCCACGCCGGCGGGCCAGGGACGCTTAGTTTTATCTTATCGCAATGAAGGGGAAAGCGGAACCTAGACTTTCCACCAAGGTACCTGCTGGGCATCTGCTGCTGACCCCATTCAGGGTAAACTCTGGCCCCGGTGCCCCTTCCTAGCCCGACTTTCCCGCCACACACAGCCGGGCACAAGCCTTCTCCCCACTGACCCTTTGCTCAGACCCCCCCCCAATCCTTCCCCGTCTGTCCGCCCTCCCTGGCCTGCCCCGTCCTTCCCCTCGCGGCCCTGAGAGCCCTAAGGCTCCATCGCGGTCGACGCCCCAAAGTGGGGGTCGGGATGGCGGCGACTCGTCACCTCGGCTGAGGCCTCGCTCAGCGACAGGGGACGTCTCCTGGGCCCCTTATCTCAGAATCTCACAGACCCAATTTCCGGCCGTGGCTCCGCAGTCGGGCTCCCGGGCGAACCGCTGATACCGTGAGGGCACCGTGTCCCCGCCGCTGACAGAAGACGGATCCGCGGGAAGGGAGACGGCCCATGAGCCTGCTGTCAGCCGGTGGCCGATCGAAAGGGGCAGCTGTCAGCCGACGCCTGACCCCTCTCCCGTGGCCGTAGGAAACCAAAATTGGACTTTTCCAGATCAATAAAAATTACTCAACGATCCTGTCTCTCTGGGAGACGCAGAGCGAGCGAGCGGGCGGGGGAGCCAGGCGGAGCGGGTGGGTATTCGTCAGGGCCCAGCGTCCCCGCGGCCACAAACGGCCTCCTTGTCGCCAGGAGATAAAGTGTCAGGAAAGAAACGCGACCGAGGCTGGTAACACGGCCTCTGCTTCCTTCGTCTGCAGGACCCGGGCTCCCCGGGATGTGAGATGGGTTCAGGTGCCACCAGCGGTGCTGTGGGGGTGCAGGAGGGGCCCGCGCGGCCCAGGGGAGCCGTTCCCGGGGGCACCCACGGTGGGGGTGGCAGGCGCCTGGGCTGGGTAGAGTCGCCTGCTGGCTGGTTCCAGAGGACCACGGACACTCCAGCCAAGTGGACTTCAGACTGTCCACCTCTGGCGTCTGCGTCGCTCGGGGACCTTCGGGCTTCGGAGGAGCCCGGCCGTCATCTCATTTCTCTCTCGCTTTCTCTCTCCCCACCCCCTGCAGTGATCGAGGGCCGCGGGGTCGCCGACGCCATCCAGAGGCCCTCCTCGGTGCCCCCCTACCTGCCCGTGACCTTCCGGGTCCTCCGAGCCGAGACCTCCTTCTTCCTGCGGGAGGCCCACCCCGACCCCGCGCACAACTCCAGCCTGCGGTCCCGCGTGGGGCACTTCTTCACCCGCCGAGCCCCGAGGCCCCCGCTCCTCAATGCCACCTACGGGCCTTTCTCTGCGGAGAAGGTGGTGCCTCCGGACCCCACGCTCACCTCGAACTCTCTGGGCCCGGCCGAGAAGTTCGGTTTCGACTGGAGGCTGAAGGCGCACGTCCTGCGGGACAGGATCGACGCGGGCCGGCCGGCCGTGCAGGTGCTGTTCCACGCCGTGGGCCGCGACTGGGCCGAG